TTGGATGGAGTATTTCCAGTAGAAGTAGGGAGGAATGAATGGGTGCATCTACACATGCACCTGACTGTGCAAGAACTGCCGGGACTGCATAGTCCCAGTGTTACCAACCCTACTACACAGTAGCAGTGCCAGCACAGTTCTTGCCCACTGCAGTGCTGCCATAGCTTGTTGCTATGGCGATGGGCATGTCTACAGAAGATGCTACAATGTGCATCTTCTAGAGGTGCAGCAATACATCAGTCCATATAGTATCAGCACCGATAAAAAGAAAATTGACATTGTTAGCAATCGGCTTTTTTGGCTGATGTGGCCAATTTAATGGCACTGATAAATGCTGTGTGCATGCAGCTAGCCTGGCATCTTGGAGAGCAATGTCTAACTGGTAAGTCTGTTGGGGTGAAGGGGTATGGGGGGCAGATCGAAGCTCCTGCAGTGAAGCAGGGAGTGGGGCTGGGGCAGGCGCTGCCTGGGGAGGGCACAGGACGGAGCTGCAAATGGCTTGTCTAGGGCCAGCGAAGGGTGGCTCATGGTGCTGCGTGCACCCCCAGGTGGGGTATGGGGGGCATATGCCTCCTGGATCTGTGTGAAAGGTAAGAGCAGGCTGCTTCTGCTTGCTCCCAGGGCTAGGGGCAGCACCAGGCTCTTCCTCTCTTTCTTGCCCCCCCTTCCGCCACCTCTCCTCTTTCTCCCCCCCCAAACGCACCCCCCCACACCCCTTCCCCACAACAGGCTTACCAGCTGGATGCTGCTCTCCAAGGTGCCAGGTTTCGTATCAGCAGTCAGCTCAGTATTGGCCAATATGGCATGTTAATAATAATCGGTCATCAGTATTGTTCAAAGAAATCTGTATCTGTGCATCCCTAGTATCTTCTCCCCCCTTCCAAGCTTTGGTGAGAGCTAATCTGGAATATAATGAGTGGAACAGTTGCAGAGAAGGGCTACTAAGATGATCAGGGGAATGGAGAGCCTATACTATAAGAAGGTACTTGGAGCTGTGCATGTTTAGTCAGTTTAAACAAAGCCTGAGTGTTGATATGATTCCTTTCTCCAAATATATCAGGGGGTGAACACGGGAGGGTGAAGAGCTATTAAAGCTAGTGGACATCGTTGGCATAGGAACAAATGGTTAGAGACTTCAGGTAAATTTTGGACTGTAAATTAGAAGGGTTTTTTATTTGCTAAAGAGGGAAATATCAGCGTAGTATTCTGATTTAACTAGTTCTTAGGAATTAAAAAACAAAGACACCCCCTCCTCCTGCATAACTTTTTTTTACCCTGACCTCAATGAAGGCTTAGGGTCAGTTTGTGGCAGGAATAATATGGCATAGTTACCTGCAATTACACGCAGCCTGGACTTAGAGGCAGAAAATGCCTTTCAGTCCTCTGTTCTGTCCATATGGTATTTGTGCATTTCAAAGTATAAGGGCAGCTACATAAAAACAGAGAGAATAGTTCTGTACCTTGTAATATTCCAACACCACACTGTTAAAATATCATGTTGTGCATTTTTCTTAGTTGCTTGTGGTGGTGGTTGGTGGGAGTAGACTTTGGTTTTCGTATTTTATTTGTGGAGACTTTTTGCAACAAACAAACAAACAAGGAGCAACTCGCCTTCATGTTTCTCTTCGACTGGCATTCTGATTTACCAGTTGCATTCTAACTGAGTGTACAGATAATACTTTTTATTCATGGCCGATACTGGCAGAAATACATGGTTGCTTTTGGGTTTGGTATAAGAATATGCACTACTGTCATCAGTTTCATCTCCTTTCTTGAAGTATGCAGAGGTGATTGCTGTAGTTAGTTGTAACAGGGCTATGGAAAAACGCCTCATTTATAATAATTGCATGCAATTTTGGAGGACTTTCATGACTGATGCCTCATTTTATATTTAGAAGATATAAAAAATGTCAGGAATCATTGGGGGGAGGGGAGGAATCTCCAGAAATGTAATTGGCATAAAAAATTCAGATTATAAAATTTAAGGAAAATCCGCATAACATGCTCTTGTGGAAAAGATGCAGTATGCCCAGAAGGTCCTTAATATATTTTTATGCATAACACTTTCAAACGTAGGCCTTTTAAAAATAAGTGTGTGTTGTGTGTATGGATATGTATGTATGTGTCCACAGAGTGCTTCTAGAAATACTACATGTGTGTGTGTGTGTGTGTGTATATATATATATATATAATAATACGGTGGCATATTTCTAGAAGCACTCCATGTTGACCAAAGTGTTCTCTCAGAAGCAATTGGCTCCTCAGTGGGCATTGTGCCTCTAAATTTCGATAAGAGCAGAATTAAATCAACGTGATCACTTTTAAACTCCTTGTTGAAATGAAAAAAATGTGTTGCTTTTCCACATAGTTCTTTTCATTTCCTTAAAGGAAATTATGTAGGGAA